CTGCCAAGGAATGTCTGCAGTCATCCAAACAGGCTGAAACTCCATTATATCGCTGACCTCTGCATCGGTAGGTTGGCGACATGTAAAATAGGAAATTGGCTTGTCAAATAGGAGCGGGATCCGTATACCCGATGTCAAAATAGCATGAGCTTCTCTGTTTTGTTGTTCAGGGCCGTAATCAGATTAACGGCATGTCATTTACCACCACACTGTTGGCACGCAGTTGATCAACACAGAGTAGATGCGATCCTAGACCAGGGATCAAAAGCACTTCACAGAAATGCAGACAGTAGGTTCGATGGTCAAAGGGACAGTCATAGGCAAGACAGATATTTCCAATTCGAACATCGTTTATTTTCAAACCATTGTGAAAACCGGTGACATTTATTGACTGAGAGGACGTTGAAAGGACGCAACATCCAGCAGGGTCAAAAGCACATGTATCTGCGTGCGAGTCCAGTTCACATCGGTTGGTAAGAGTGTTTGTAGATGATAGCACTGATACCATACGAGAATTTGGGCGAATGCTTGTGAGGGATCCAACAGATGAGGTTCCTAGTCAATCATCATCACGATTGTTGCGACGGCGACGACTCATTCCTGAACCTGCCCCACACCCATCATTGTTATCTTCTTTTGTTTCTTCTTGATCAGCTCGTCCATCATGGACAGCGCTGATACCACGACCACGACCACGACCACGACCACCACGGCCTTCACGGCCTCTTCCGCCACGACCACCACCATTGCGACGGTTGAGACGCATTTCTAAGCAAATATTTCTTTCTTCTTGTGTAAACTCCTCTCTCCAGATTTGATTTGAATAACCTCCATCATTTAGTAGTATACCATTGCGGCTAAAGCGATCTGGAACATTCGATTGCAGACGGTTTGTGGCGCCATTTCCTCGGCCACGACCTCCACTTCTACCATCACCACCACCGCGTCCGCCACCACCACGAGTAAAAGCAGCAAGTTGTCGATTGCGGCGCTGGGTGTTGTCGTTACCGGCAGCTAAGACTTGTGTTGTTAAATAATCGATGGCACCTTGGAAATTTGATCGGAGAACGGCATCTCCAGTAATATGTGATCTTCCATTAGAGAGTGAGGAATCTCCAACAGTTTTCTCCAGAAGTACGTCAACCT